GGGGGTTGCTTAGTCTATACATGTACTATGGTCTAGAACAGAGAGAATGTCTTGACCAGGCTTACGTCACACAATGCGGGAATGCACCCCAGCTGCACTAGTTGCAAATACACGATTTCTCTGTGACTGCTTCGTTTAGCCTTATCGATTCCGATAATGATCAGCTTCTCCAACTGGTGACATATTTCTTTTCAAGATCCCCCTAAAATAAAGCAGTAAAGCTGGGGGCAAACGTGGTCAGAAAAAAAATCAAATGTAGCTTTCTCCATCCGTAGATAGCGAGAGATAAGCTCGCCTCGGTAGAAAGATAGTCCAAGCATGTTTCTTCATCAGAGAATATTTGGGGTAGGAAACTGAATTCTCCTAGTTTGGTGCCCTCACGACATATGGGATGCATCCAGTAACGACAATAATGGAGAGATGTCAATTCCTTTTGTACCACCCCCAAAGAAAGATTTTGTTTTTTTCATGTCAGCGCCATTTTGCATCACGTGCCAAAATAAAAGGGCAGCGGATGGTGTGGATAAAGACGACCTACACGTTTCTGTCCAGACATTTCAAAATGAGGAGTGGAGCCTGTGGACACCTAGCCTTACACGCCCATATTATCTACCAAGGGAATTTCCAAAGATAAAGGCCAACATTGTTTTTATTCCAAAACAAGCCAACGTTAAAGTGTCCACGGATCACAGATACTTTCGTCGAACCGATTCACGAACAAAAGTCACAGTCTTTTGTCCAGACAGTGTTACAATTATCACTGAGGATCTTAACAAATGCTGTTTAACTTCTGCCCATCCCACTCTCCATCAGTATGTTACTATGCCAGCCCGTGAGAAAAAAAACGATCGGCCTATGTTATGTAAAAGTTTCTAAGGCTTACAAATGTACCTGTCTACCTCCAACGGAAAACTCTGATCAGTGCATGTCTTTTTTATTACCAAAGTATTTCGTCAAAGTCAATTAAAAAAATAATACCTCTATCTGGAGCGAAGAAATCATGGAATTCCCGAGAGGATGATTTACATGTACTTACTTTTTCCGTCCTCTTGTATTCTTAGGATGTTGCTGGGAGGTGCAGGTTTCGGTCCTGTGCTGAGTGTGTGGCGTCTGGATAGATATTGGCATGTCGTGCTCTAACTTTTTTAACCCCATCCAGCTTGGTCCTTCTTGGTCTTCCTCTTGATTTGAAACCAGAGTCACGGGTGTAGTAAGCTCTTGTCACGAGTTGTTTCTGGGGTATTCTGGTTAGATGTCCAAACCAGTTGACTCTTTGAAGCTCATTGAAATTCACTACTGGTGGTATTCCGGTTTGTAGGCATATGGTCTCGATCCTTATGCGGTCTTTTCTTTTGATATTGATGGTTTTGCGGAGACGCCTCATTTCGCACACATTAATATTTCTTCTTGAGCTTTATTTAGGAGCCATGTTTGGCACTGGTGTGTTTAGGTTGGTATGCGGGTGCTTTAAATGCAGATATTAGAATGTTTTTAAAAGATTCATGTAATAATAAAGACAAATTATTTAAGACGATCGCTGGTTACATCAGGTTTTTTTAAGATCTAGATTCATGTAAAAAAGAAGTTATCTACTACCTACTCAACCAACAAACCACTGGTTAGCAAAGCAAAGAGTTAAAGGAAAAAATAAATGAGAAGAAGACGGCATTCAAACTAAAAGAAAACGACAAACGAAAAACAACGAATAATAGGTTAAAGACAAATAAGAGAGTGTTGGCATGTATGCAAAGAACACTTCACTTTTAACAGTACAAAAAAAACTTGGCAATATATTAAAAAACAAAACAATTATAGATGGAGACACACCAAGACGGACAAAGATTCCTACACATGACACCAACCCTAAACAGTGTGCAAACAAACCAAATTCTTTTTACGCTCGTTTTGACAACCACGACTTCTTCTACGAGCTGCCAACTGCCAAAGAGACGATTCAAAGTGACCGCACAGACTACAACAACACACACAGACGAAGGCTATGACAAGAGCAAGGATATTTTTTGTGGCTAATGCTAATACAGTGCGGTCAAGATCATATTTTATCGTCAGAAAACTCACACAGCGAGTGGACTCGATAAAGTCAAGAATAAAATCAATTTTTCTCCTCAGTTGTCTCCCATTTACGCTAATGCTTTCACTATGTCCTTGAAAGAACGCGTTATGCCACCCTTGTGGAAATGCTCGAAAATTATTCGTGTACCAAAGAAACGATCAGTACAAAATCTGAATTACCTAAGACCTGTGGATTTAACATCAGTCCTTAAGAAAAGTTTGAAAAGTTTAGAAAAACTAGTTCTGAATGAATTGAAGAATTCAACAGAAGACATACAGGATAACATGCAATTTGTCTATCGTGTCAAGGGGGGCGAATTTCCCTGCGTCCGAGAAGGGTGCAATAAATGTTCGTATTTAAGGGTATTTTGCAGGTAAATATTTTACATTTCAAAGTACGCTTGTCTGTTTTGTTTTGTTTTGTCTGTCTGATTGTTTGTTTTGGTACATCTGTTTTTGATTCTGTTCTCTTCATCCTAACAGAGCAAAAACAGAGCAAACTATTCAAAATAGGAAATGACACCACACGGATCTGTTGGCCTCCTGCTTCTGCTGAGTGTTGTTTCCATGGCGACCAGTCAAGCTGTGGATTTCACTAGGTTACCGGAGGCTACAGGAGAATCTGTGGTGAGGGCAACTGTGTCACAGATCCGAGAGTCGTGTGCCTTCCAGAACGATTATCTCTATCTGAAGAGGCTGGCTTTTGTGTCCTCGGAGTATGGCGAGGCTTCTGGATCATTTAGACCAGGGTTCCACGGGGGAATATGGCAGGTGAGAGAGAGGAGAGAGAGAGAGAGAGAGAGAGAGAGAGAGAGAGAGAGAGAGAGAGAGAGAGAGAGAGAGAGAGAGAGAGAGAGAGAGAGAGAGAAAGAAAGAGAGAAAGAGAGGTAGGAAAAAGAAAGAGAAAGAAAGAGAGTGACAGTGAAGTTCAGTTAAGGTTATTTTTTTAGCCGGTATAAAGCCTCTGGTATGTTAAAAATAACCCCACCCCCATCCCTTTTCAATTTCCTCTTTACCTGAAGAAATAAAATACATGACGTCTTTCCTGTTTCTTGTAATGTTCTTGCCAAAGATCTACCTTATGCATCATGTCCACCCCCAACCTCTCCCCTTCTTCTCGTCTTGTTTTCTTTTAGGACCTAGTTGTACCCTGAAATAGAAATGTCTGGATAAAACTACAATTATTTCTAGATTTCTCGGGAGGACTATAAACTCACCCTCTACATGGATAGCACATTCTACGATCTTATTCGTAAAAAGCTTAACATCGAATGGAGAAAGACCAAATGGAGCGACTTGAGAAAGCCAATCTACTCCGGAATAGCAGCTATGCTCACGTTAGAGAGGTGAGTTTGTTTTTCCAAAAAGTTTGAAAGTTCTCATCTCTCAGTAACCGACCAATCTCTTTTCATACTGAACAGACCGGCCCATATAACTAGGAACGGACAACTGTACTCAATCTCAACGAATGTTTAACTAGTTTTGTAGTGTTTATAAATCTGCTCCTCGATTCTACGCGTTAAGGTTTTTGTTGAATATCACTTATAAGGGTGTCGAACACTTTTTTAATATGAAGAGTTGAAGCTTATTCGAGTACACCTTCCTGTATCAAAATGTTAGACGTCATGTGCTTTAAGTTAAGCGATATTTTCACAATTCATTCTCTACTTTATCTCTATATTTGTGAAAGTTCGTCTCTTTTGCTGCCTAAAACTTCCGAACCACTTAACTTTCGAACTCAACAAAGTTAATGGTGGTTCAGTATTATTTAAAGAGTGCACAGCTTTATTTAGGAAGTCACTATAGTTTGATTTCCAGTTTAAAAAAAATTAGTTTCGTTTAGACTTAATCTTGGGAAAGTCCGTCTTCTCAGACGCCATTGTAAACAAGGGAGGTTTCCGTTCACTATACCTTTGAAATTTTGGAGTGTGCAACTACGAAAGCGGAACAGAGAATCAATCTATACATCTATTTTATATCTGGCAACTTGGAAACACATGTGTCACTTTTCCCATAAAACTACGACAGCTACAGAGTTGAAAGTTGACAAATACCTGCAAAAAGGTAGGTAGGTATTCGTAACGGAGCCCGATTTTTTTTTTTTTCATTTCCAGAATTTAGAAAAGTATATTTGACAAAAAGTTCCCGTCCTTCTTTGGCATTTGTTATTATTCCACTGAGAAACGAAAGAAATCTGCGCAGCTGTCCTTCAAAGCTGAAGTGCCGGAAGTGATATTTCGCGAGGTGCATTTTGTTTTGAAAGTATAGATCTAGACCTAATTTTTACATCTTTCAAGATTTATTGCACCCTTGTAAAGTGTAAATATAGTAGGCCAATGGTTTTCAGTTGATGTTAATGCAGTGATTATTCCTTTCATCTAAAGGGGGCCCAGTTAGTTGACGTATAACTCTATATAATAAAACTGTATTCACTTCGGTATCGTTAATTTCTCTTTGCGATATAATTTTCAGTCAAGAAAACCACCATACAACCCATATAAAATCATTTTTGAAACCTAGGCCTACCCATTTTTGAACCAGGATTGCCCCACATAAATTATACAATGGGAGAGAGTATCAATCTGTACATTTAGTGGACTCTTTTATTTACATAATCTATCGTTAATATATTCGATAGCACGCCCTCATTCACCCGTTGTCCACTAACTGTTTGCTTCAACAATGGATGTCACAGCAAACTGACACAACCTCTTGCTGGATACCAATTCCCACCTGAGTGAAGACAGGACAATTCATATAAAGTGCATTTGGCAAGGACATAACCTCAGTCCGCTGACGGGATTCAAATCCATGACATTACGGTTGAAAGTCTGAGACCACTCTGCCACCAACGCCGCTATGATGAGGATGAGGATGATGATGACGACGGTGTCTGTATATCGTCACTGTCGCAAGCAATCCACTTTACTCGTTTTTGTACTTTTGACACCTGAAACCAAAAAAACAAAACAAAACACTTCTTGTTCTTTCCCTGGAATAACAGGAAACACGAGCACGATCTTCTCGTCAGGAATCACGAAAAGCAAGAAAATTGTAAGCCTTGACCATAGCATTAAACTGCATTTTGGTGATGTTAAAGGGTATATCTTTTGATAGAACTTTGGGAGGGTGTAAAAATCTAACATTCTTAAAACTTGGACGTATGTGGGTTGTTTACAGTACTGGCTATATTTCTGGACCTAAGCGGATTGCTTGCGACAAGGACGATATTTACCTATCTCCAGATTGTCCCCCATCCCACGGAATGCCAAAGGACAAGCAAAATTCTTCCAAAAAAACTTGTCTGGAAATGCTACGCTCTTTCTTGACCTGATATCTCAAACACAAAGGTGTAAGTATGTCATGGTTTGGGGGCTACTTTTGTGAGTAGTGATATCGATGTGAATGTCTGTCAGCGTAAGTAGCTGTGTGTTTTTGTGTGTGTGTGCGTGTGAGTGTGAGCATGCGTGTGTGTGTGCGTGTGCGTGTGTGTATATATATTAAATTCATATAGGTATATATATATTTTTATATATATTTATATATATATATATATATATGTATATATATATATATATATATATATATATATATATATATATATATATATATATATATATAATATATGTGTGTGAGTGTGTGTATGTGTGAGTGTGTGTGTTTATGTTTATATTTTCGTTTGAATGTAATTGCGTGAGTGTTTGTGTTCTAAACGTTTTTCATATTTATAAAAGCGTATACTTTCTGTGTAACGACACTGTCGAATAAGGTGCTTATCAACTTTTGTTCATACTGGGTTCTATTGATATCATCTTAAAAATCAGTGTAATTAACACCTAAATGTGTTTTAAAAGGACAAAAAAAATTGAGCCAGAGAAAGATCGATTTTAAAAATTGATAAAATTTGCCCAACAAGCATAAAATGTTGGTTACTTCGACTTCATTACTTTGAAAGGAGCCTGTTGTCACTCAGATCTCAGAAACACCCTTTTGTATACTTTGCAGACATATCAATTCGTTATGTAATCTTCCAAATACGTCGAGGGGAACTCTGTGCCACCACTTCCCAAGAGGAAATTCACCCGATAATCTGGTCTGTACGCTTTACAGAGCAGTCTGTCAAAATAATTTTTTGAGAAATACTGAAAGTTTCAAAGAGATCTTCGTACTAGAAGTATTCAAAAATGTGGAGAATACAACCTCGGGGGTACAAAATGACCCCAGGGTGTACAAATAGGGTTAAGCCCAAGCGACCCGGTACAACAATTTTATCTGTTCTGTGTCAAGTCTAAGGCAGGGTTCCTTTTCTCATTTAACAGCGTGCGACACTGAAGAGCTCGACATGGCGTTCGTCCTTGATGGTTCGGCCAGCATGACTTCTTCCGAATTTAAGGAGTCCAAAAAGTTTACATCGCTCGTTCTTAGAAATTTCTATGTGGAACCTGATTTCGTCCGCGTTTCTGTGTCCACCTTCAGTGACACTGTGACTGTAAGTATTGGATAAATTAAAAATCTGAAATCAATATAAATCCTATATTCTATCTGTATATGTATTTTAGAAAAAAATGTAGACAAAAAAAAACAACAATAAAAAAAT